ATAATATCCACAAAATTATATTTCTCTATATTGTTTACTATACTCTTTATTACACCAGGAGCCAGCCTGCTTAGCTACGGCATTCTTGTAAAGAAGTAAAGTTAGTATGTGTGGGTCTCTATGCAGCCACACCAAATGCTTTCTCTGTGTGAATCTGTAGATCTTACTATCATCACAAGAGGGGTGTCCGCGCTACACCCGATCACGTTAAAGTAGGGAAACTATTGATGGACAATATATTTTGTTGCCAGCAGCCTCGGGGGGTCAACAGGAGAGAGCGATTCGATCATCGAGCGGGGAGTGGGCAAAGACAACACAAGGCAAGCGATCTCCAGTCTGATGCAGTCCACGTCGACAAGTCGGAGGTAGATGGTTGACACAGAGCCATGTCTCTCTGGAGAATTGTCAAGATAAAAGAAACGTACCAAAAACTGAGCAGGTGAGGTTATGGCTGTATGCACCTCTTTTGTCACTTTGGTTTTGTTTTTAGTTTGTTTGTTGTTGTTGTTGTTGTTAGTTTTTTGTCATATTATTGTTGTTGTTGTTGATGTTGTTGTTGTTGTTGTTTGTTTGTTTGTTTGTTTTTTAAACCAAGATAGTTTTTAACTGACAAATAGCTTTGCACATAAAGCGTCTCTGTACTCTATGTGGCTTTTTTTGCAATGTGGTGCCTACTGAGGAAGGGAAACACACTGATTAAAATAAATTCATTGGACTCGTACGTTCTGGTCTATCGACATCGCTTGCAGACGCCCTGCTTTGGGTACTTTAAAAAAGGAGCATAACTTGTCATTTACTCAGGTTTTTCTAAATTGTTTTGCTTTTTCTGAAACTTACGCAACAATATGCATACTGTGAAATACGACAATTTTCTGATTTATGTATGGCGGTTTGTTAATGTCCCACAACGTTGTTGTTCGGACGTACTATTATTAAAAACCTAAAACATGCATTTACTAATGTCCTGTCTTGCTGTGTGTACGCGTGAGTGCACCTACCCGTTGTTACATTTCACTGCTATTGTAAATGACAAAGACATATGAATTTCTCCTTGTGAGATGAATAAGGATTGTAATTGTCATTGTCATTATGTGTCTGCCACTTCTTGAAAGAGTGAAAAGGAAACAGAGGTACGGAAATACGCGCCAAAGGTATTTGAAAATATAATTTTTATGTTTCCTTGAACAAGAAACGAAGGTTCAACTGTAAATCAGCCCTAACCGAAATAATTTTACCCCAATACAGTCTCTTCTTCACGTTTTATGATGTACTTAGCATGTTCGTAACTTGATTTGATTAAGTAAAAAACCGTTTGAGAATGACTTACCTAGTTTTACACTTGATTGGCTCAATAAGGATAATCCAGAGATACTGGTGTTAGTTGAGGTTCGACACCTTTACTTTTTCTAAAAGTGGACTTATTCCGTTCTCACTTGACCCCTGTAAGAATTAACCCTTCACACCTTAAATACATAGCGCCAGTGGACCAATAATATTGTGTTCCTGTAATTGATTTTTTTGGTGATGTCATTATGGATTTGTACATTTTCAGTATAGAGTAGTGCTCACCAATTTTGGCTTTGTCACCTATTAGTAGCCGATTCGTTCATTTTACTGGTCGGAGAGGATCGCCCGGGTAGTGACAGTTTTTTAAAATACAGAAATACAGTTGAACCACCAGCCCAGCTGTTCAGTCAACTACATGCTCGTCCCAAGGGTGGCGGTATAATGAGGTTCGACTGTACAAGTAAGTGGACTGTACGAAATTTGTATCCTCACATGGTAGGACAATTGGATGCGCACTATTAAAAAAACTGACAAGACTGACAAGCTCTAATACAGACAAATATAATGCATATAAACATGTCACTGTAACAGTATCGTCTGACATGCAAAGCAATGTAGGTTTTATTTTGCATTATTTTTTTTGGGGGGGAGGGGGGTTGGTGGTTTTTTTTTTGGGGTTACTGTAGGAGCAAATGATCTTTCTCCAGACAGATTGTTTACTATACTCTATTTTGTCCCAGGAATCGACATGTTTGGCTACGATATTCTCTGCTGATGTCTCTAATCCTACTGTTTCTGAGTCTTGCAATTTACGAACGAAGCCTCCACTCTTCAGCCACGATACATTCCCTACTGGACAAGAGTCTCTGGGCGGATGGACAGATCGCCGGTGATGACTACGTCATCAAACTTGGGAAAAACCCTAGAGGAGATGGACAGAACATTAGTGACAAGAGAGTGCGTTATATCGTTTACACGTGTGATGGGACGTATTGCCACGGGTTGGGGGACCGGCAGAGAGCTATTGTCAGTCTCTACTATCTGTCCATCGTGACCAATAGAAAGCTGGTGATTAACATGACGCAGCCTTGGCCGCTCAGTGACTTCTACGAGCCGAGCGAGACAGACTGGACGGTGAACGAGGACGAGTTAAAGGACAGGAGTAGCACGTACCTTGTGGTAGGTGGATTTCTCTCTCTCTCTCTCTCTCTCTCTCTCTCTCTCTCTCTCTCTCTCTCTCTCTCTCTCTCTCTCTCTCGCTCTTTCTCTCTCTCTCTCTCTCGCACACACACACACACACACACACACACACACACACACACACACACACACACACACTCTCTCTCTCTCTTTCTTTTCTCTATCTCAATCTCTCTCTTTCTCTCTGTCCCCGCCCTCCCCCTCCCTCTGTCTCTCTCACTCTCACTGACTTTTACAAGCCGAGAGAGACCAACTGGGCCTGCACCATAAATCAGTTCTACTTACAACAGTAGTATGATTACCACCTTCACTTCTCTCCACCTCAGTGACCTTCTGGTGTCAAGAGAAGAAGTAAACGTCTTTCTCATGTTTGTTGTGTCGCTTGTTGTATGGCAATCTTGTCTTTGTGTCACGTTTTTCTGACCTCCTCTACCCGTCGTCTCTGGGGTTTGTTTCTCACTGTTTCCCTCTGATCTCTGGTTATATGTTCTGGCTGCTATATTCATTTGGTCTTGACAGATGCCCAAACTACATGTATTCCATGCATCTTTTACTCCTATGCACTTCAAGAGAGAAGTCGAGCCAGCATGTTCTCTAACCACCTCGTTTCTCACACTGGCTTTCTTATGATGTTCAATTTTTTAGGCATCTCGTTTCACAGGCATTTATTTGTTGACTTTCGATAATTGTCCATGTTATGGCTCAGTAGCACAACCTTGGTATAAAGATGCTGTTAATAATCACTTTGTTTCCTTTGCGATGTTGGATAATACTAGTAATAGTGAGACTAGTATGCCTGGTGTAATTTTAAAAATTAGTGACATACGGTTTTGCGTCTTTTGCCTTCCCCTTGGGTGGTTGGAGGGTTCCTCAGGTTGGTTCTAGACCTTTATTTTTAATGTGTTGTCTGTCTGTCTGTCGTACCGTCGTTTCCCGGAAATAAACTACCATGATCGTGTTGACGTGCTTCTATTTAACTGAGCAAACAAACATATTATTTTGTTCCCCCAGTGTTTAGGCAAAAGAGGTAACCAGATCAAATGGGACTCGGTAAACTTCAACAAGATGTACCCCCAGGATGTTGTTTACATCATGACCAACCACGACTTCTACTATCAACTGCGGAGCAACTCGCTCTATCAAAGCAAGTTGCCCATACGCAGAAAATGGCGGGCTCATGGCGAAGCGTGGAAAGCAATGATGCATCCTACAGCGAAACTGCGCTCAGCTCTTAATGACGAACTTACAAAAATTGGCGAGGTCATTCTTGAGGAGAAACGTGTTTATTCAGAGACAAATTTAAGCTCCACGAATTGTAAAGCGGCCCGAGCTCATTCACTTGGTAAATCGATGTACAAAGAAAAAAGATTGCTAAAGCAAACTGATGTGGAACACTCTCCAACGCAGAAAACTCAAGAAAATGAATCTCGAATAGATGTGTGCCGGTTCCCGCCTCCTCGTTTTCAGTACTCGGTAGTTTCATTGAGTCCAATCAAATCGCTCAGAGGTTATGACGTCATTAATATGGACTTGGTTTGCGCGCATGTGAGGATAGGCCGTAGTGACACACTGCCCCAGGAGGAATACCAGAGAAACGACCCAGATTCTGTGGGCGGTTTGTGGAGGTTCTTGCAGCCCTACATGAAAGCAGGACATCACGCTTACCTCGCAACAGACTCGCAGCAGGTGATCCATTTGTTCTGTTGGGAGTGTTCTCACAGAGCATGACCACTGCTATCATCATCATCATCATCATCATCATCATCATCATCATCATCATCATCATCATCATCATCATCATCATCATCACTGTAGAAAGAGCAGAGTTGGGAGTGAGAGTCTTGAGCAAGTTTAGGTAGGCCAATATAAATATTGATCTGCTTAAGAATGTGGTTTTCAGCCATATAGGTCCCGGTATGTTAATATAAGTTGGAGAGTAATAAATTGCTCGCCTAAAGTTATATAGCTCATTAAATATCAAAGTTACTAGGTCGTTCGATATACAGTTTTCGCGTTCTTTTTCATGGATGTGACCAGCTGGATGGATAGCGATATTTTAAAAGATTGCCTTAGGTACAGAATACTATACATGCTCTGTGTAAAAATACGTTTGTTGTAAGAATGCTATAGCTATAAGTTTATGTGAGGTTTTCTACATATTTAACATATATTTTCGAATTTTTTAAGGGTAAAATTGGTTTATTCAAATTTATAATTTAGAAATCAAATAATTCTAACTTTTTTCAGTAGATTTTTGGGGGCTTTTATTCTCTTTTTCTCTATCTCATTGTTATAAATGTATTTTTTAATTTCTGTTTTGGGTTTTATTTCACATCAATCTCTTGGAAGTATTAAAATCAGATCACATAGTCAAACTTTTATTCGAATCACGGTCCAGTGTTTAAGCCGATATGAGCCTATTTACCGGCATCTGTGGTGTAACGGTTAGGTGTGCCGCTGTCGCATGTAGAAATCCCGAGTTTTGTTCTCGAATGGGGAGATATCAAATATCTCGGTCTTTAGGCTGAGATGTTGTATCTCGCTCAGCCTGGGGTAGCACTTATAGGCAAGGTCTGATGTGTGCCTCCTAAATGATATGAATTGAGTCGATGGTGGGGTAAAACACCTTTATTAAATGGAGGGTGTTTTTTGTACCTTGCACCCTCAGGGTGTTGGAAAAGCGAGCTTGACATCAGGTGTGCTTGAACAAATGTCAAATAATGTTCTCATTCTCAGGTACGTGACCAGGCCAAGCTGGCGTTTGGTCACCGCATGCACGTGAGTGAGCAGGAAATCGTACACTTCGGCAAGACCGGCCTGGAGGAAGACAACTTGAGGTAAAATTATAAACGTTTAATGTGCCATCGTGGAGAATTCAGACCCTCGTCAAATTCATGAAATCAAAAACACCGGCGGCATTTTCTGGTCATTGAGCATTTTTTCCCTTTCTCGTTTGGCGTAACACATTTTATGCCCATTAAAAAACACATTTCTGAGTGAATTTTGACGAGGGCCTGATTCCGCCGCATCGTGACACATTTTTGTATGCGAATGTCCCCCCTCACCAGCAAGTTCTATGTGCTTTAAAATCTATTTTACTAACCAAACAGACCCAAGAACGCCATGAAACATTTAGTGTGTAGCCGATTAAAAATGTTAAGACCCCCAATACAGCTGGTATCTTTCGTTGCCCATAGCCGGGAACCCATCCCCACTTCGGTGAAGAGAGAAAAAACCGCGTTAAGTTCCTTTTCCAAGGACGCAAAACGGGCCCCTAACATGGCACGAACCCACGACCTCCTGATGGTTGCAAACCCAACAGCCTAATCACTGGATCACATTTGAGCACATGCAACCGATATTACATATTTTGAAACTACATTAAAATGATTTTTAAAGTTTTGGGCTTAATACATTCTAACAGCTTGTCAGAGATATCTTTAGTTTAAAAAAAAATAAAAATAATGAATTATAACCAAAAGGTTGCTCTCACCCTTTGTTTTATCTAGGTCAGTGCTCTTCAATCTGTTTACAGCCAAGCCCACTTTTGTGCGTGTTTGTTACTCTCTTGTAACAGCTTTAATCTTCAGCACTTGGCTACCCTGGAATGACCAAGTTCTGACTACTCAGTAGTCTACCTAGGGTTTGTGACATTTGACGACTCAATTTTTCGCTTTTCAAATTGTCAAGCTTTTTGGAATGCAATCTTTGAATATCTTGCAAATGACTCCAAATAATCTTAATATTTTGATAGAGCAGACAGAACATAATTTGGTTACTGACCTCATGGTCTTAGTCACTTAAAACGACTAAAAATGTCAGATAGAATTTTGTAATTCTAGGTTCCGGGGTAGTGACTCATATAAAGGCTTAATTGTATTGCAAGTTGCAAGTACCGTAAAACGCTTCTTACTAAATACTAAAACTGAATAACTCCCTGATTTCTTCTCATCATCATCATCATCCGGTGCCTTGCCGACTGGCGAGGGCGATCATGGACCTCCACTTCACTCTGTCTTGCGTTTCAGCAATGGTGTCTGTTGTTCTTGCTGCTCCTAGCCATGTTGTCATCTTGTCCAGTATCTTTTCCCTCTCTCTGCCTCTGCCTCTGCCTCTCTGTCCATCAAACTTGCCTATTGTTACAATATTCTCCAATGCTTCTTTCCGCATTGTGTGTCCGAAGAAATTTGCCTGTGGCTTTTTTATATTCGTCATAAGCTGTCTTCTACAATTTGCTTCAACCAAGACTTCTTCGTTTGTTTTTCTAGCTGTTTTTCTTTGTTTTTCTCCTCAGACTGGCGCTAACGGAACAGCTGCTCCTGTCTACCGCGTGCAGTGTCCTAGTGATCAGCAAAAGTGGCTACAGCATGCGCGCCGCCATGTTGAGAGCCACACTGCAGGGAGACGACGGACTCTTCTTTTTCAAAAACGGAACAGTGAGAGAGATCGACGCTGCGCATTTGTTTTGATGATATCTCAGAGTGTTTTGTTTTTAGGTGTGTGTGTGTGTGTTTGTGTGTGTGTGTGTGTGTGTGTGTGTGTGTGTGTGTGTGTGTGTGTGTGTATGTGTGCGTGTTATGCGTGTGTGGGTGTTTATGTGTGAGTATAAGTTTTTATATGAGAGTGAGGTATGTGTGCATGTGTGTATGTTTGTGTATGAATGTGGGGAACATTGTGTGTGGGATTTTTTTCTTTCGTGTGTGTGTGTGTACGCGCGCGCGCGTATGTGTGTGTGTGTGTGTGTGTGTGTGTGTGTGCGCGTGCGCGTACGAGTTCTGATTATGTCCAATTGCATTACTTAAAGCCAATCTACTGCTACAAAAAAGGAAAATGCTTAGATAATACAATACATGTGGTTTACATAATAAAGACTTAGATCTATCTTTTCTTGTGTGTGTAAGTGAGTGTGTGTGCGTGTGTGTAAGTATGTGTGTGTGTGTGTGTGTGTGTGTGTGTGTGTGTGTGTGTGTGTGTGTGTGTGTGTTTGTGAGTGTGTGAGTGTGTGTGTTCGTGTGGGCGTGTTTGCGTTTGAATAAGCGTGCACGTGTGTATCTATATATGTGGGTGTCTGTTTGCGTGTATATGTATTATTTTGTGTGTGTGTGTGTGAGTGTGTGTTTGTGTGTGTGTGTGTGTGTGTGTGTGTGTGTGTGTGTGTGTGGTGTGTGTGTGTGTGTGTGTGTGTGTGTGCGTGTGATTGTGTGTTCATATGTGTAGAATGATAACATAAATTCTAACTTTTAAAAAACGGGATGATACCCCCCTCCCATATGAACATACAACCGCCCCCCCCAAAAAAAAAAAATTATTAAAAAATTAAAAAATTAAAAAATCAACAACAACAACAATAACAAAGACAAAAACAAAAGAAAACAAGAAAAACTTAAATGAACTTGTGTGTGCGTGAATGTGTTGATCCTTGTATGACTTTGAATGTTCATAGATTTAAAAAATTGTCGAATCATTATTTGTTCTAAAATCGTACCAGAATTCCCCTTATATTTAAAAAAAAAATCGAGGCAGATCTCAGTCTTTTCAAACTTAGACATAAATCCTCGGCCAACTGTATAGATGGACGAGTTGGGGGGGGGGGGGTAAAAAAAGTAATGCAAGTTATAGGCTGTTTTGCACAATTTTGCATCAAATTCTATAAAAAAATCCAACTCACAAGTACTTGCCAGTGAACGTTTCAGCTCAAACTGATAAAATTCAATTTTCTTTGATTTTTGCCTAAATGACGTCACATCAAAATGTCTGCCCCTTACAGGTCTGCATGGAGCTGTGACTTAATTTCTTATTTTAGAAAGTGAATCCAACTGTAATATCCAAAACAGACTTTAAAATGTTTGCAAGGACCACGCTCAAGTATTTGGCTCTGTACATAAATGTGACAAACGTGTGAGCAATGAACGGGAAGAAGAGGAAGGGGTGTCTATGTGCTCGTCAGACAAGCATCGTCCTGAAAAACAGCCAGAGGACTCATGGCTACCGGGTTTGGAGACATTCATAGCCAGCTTTTAACAGATTTTAATTTTTACCTGGAGGAACAATGGTTAATTCTGAAGCCTACATTACATTTTCCTTGAGAGATTAAAACTATGGAAACAATGGAGAAATCAACACTGCTGAGAAAAATTGGCAAAAAAGACCAACCTGCTGTTTTACGAAGATAGCGTACGTGGATTTAGTGAAAGAGGGACGAAATAGAGACTATGATGAGAAATTGAAATCTGATCCTTTGATGGTCCCCCTCAATTTAAGGTATGATAGTTGAAACTGTTTTCTTTTTTCTTTAAATTATAACCGAACTTGCATTAGAAATTGCAACTTGTTATAAGTTCTGAATATTACATATGTTACAAGAGAGTATTATACAACGAAAAGAAAGGAGAAGAAAGATAAGGAAGATGGATGTTAAACAGGAGAATAGAGGCCAAAACACAAGAAGCATCCACCAACCACGTGTTTAGATTTTTAATTTGTGTCAATTACGCATGCTGGAGAGTTGTTTTGCTGAAATTTAGATTTCAAATGTCTGAAAAAGCAACAACAAAAAAACTTTTAAAATGTGCATATTGTCTGTATATTTATCTAAACGAATGAAACAGTTGTTTTCTCTCTCCATGGAATAGTTTATTGAAATGTTGCTTTCTAAGCTAAGAACAGTCGAACATCTTGCCGATAAATTATTATTTTAGTATAGTGGCATTGGGTTAGAAAATAAGTGCGAGAGAATTTTCCCTTAGCCGTCAGTTAAGCTTAAATTATCAAAACAATTCAACAGCTGGCTTTGACTTACAGTTGTCATCATCTAGGGGGAACCTAAGAACAGACTCTGCCTGCAATGATCCCATCTTTGTAGATAAAAAGTAAATAGTCAGAAAAAATAGGCATACATACCATTATCTTCATTATTCTTCATATCATCATGTACAAAGTTTGCTGTGAGCACCACATATCTTGGACAGGCTAAGAGAGAGCATCCATTTCAGACGTATAAGGGATGGATTTGATCTAGTTTTGTCCCCTTGCATTCTCAACACGTTTATTCTTCAGGGCAAGGCGAGGGATTTTAGGCTCCAATTGCTAGTCTTATTTACTTTGATCCTCTTTGTTTTGTAAGATTTTCACGATAACGCTTATCTCCAGATTATGGACAGGACAAGGTTTTCCCGAAATACCCAGATTGGTCCAACTCGGTCTACTGACGTGTTTTGCAATGGAACACATACTTGACTCAAGACCAAACATTTGACAGGACGTGTCTGAATTTCTGGTTGTTTTTTGAAGCTGCGTTTAGTTCATTTACTCAATTGAAATTTGCCCAGTTGCCTCCTGGAGTTTTAAGGTGTTTCTAGGCATTTATCACAATTTAGTGCCAGATCTGAAAGAGACATCGGTAATAATGGTTCTCCATTAATTTATTTCTCATTTTCCCACTTGGGTGCGCTCAAAAGTCTTGCTTTATCCTACTGTTTCCCTGTCACCTATTTAGGTTTTCCAAATTTTTGCACGAGACCCAGCAAATACACTCATTATTAGGTATGGATCCGTTTTGAAATAAGGCGTTCGTGAAAAATATAGGACTTCGAAAAAATTGACACATTTCAACTAGTTGGTCAAATTTTATTTATTTCTATTTTTGATGTTATTTGCTTTTTATTTGGCTAAACACTTTTTATTTTCATTTAAAACCACCTTTCTGTGTGGATTTTACTGAAAAACGTTGAAGAAAGGTTAGCATGTATCACATGCAAATTTGCAGTTTCCAAGATCACCAAACTCTGGACACCTTTTTTCTCGCTTAATTTACCTCGATACCAGGTGACCCCCACCCCATTTAATCACAAATATCTCAACGTCTATTCGACATAGAAGGGTCCACAGAATTGAGACAAATGAACTATCTTTACACTTTATAATACCAATAATTATATTCAAAATTTAAGGACTCCATCAATGGTAGTGAAACATATCGCGCTGTATACAAAATGAGAGCGTGCCATATAATTTACAATACATCACGTACTATCCCAACCATGGGCGTAGGAAGTTAGCAGACCCCCAAGAGTGGTTTGCTCCTTCTTTCCTTTCTACTTCTATCCTTCCTATCTCTTTTTAAAATGAATAATAATATGACTCTCTTCAGCACGTATATGACCTATTTGTGTTGGTGGTACCGTAGAACTCTTACTGAAACTAAAACTTAAACTAAACAAACAACATCAGCTGCCTCGGATTTTGCATTGTTCCTGCCTTCTTTCACGCTAGTTTTTCAGGCAAAGCGGTTAGAATCTTCAACGCCGCACGCACAAGACCCGAGTTGGATTCCCGTGAGGGAAGAGTTTTTATCGAGTTTCTTCATCTTTTTGTTAGGATGCTGTGTCCTTCTTAAACCGGGCTGGCCCTGACAGGCAGGGTCAAAGCCCGATATTTAAATGATATTAACTGTGTCGATGGATTACAGAGCGTATGGAATAAGAACAAAACAAAACAAGCAGCAATTAATGAATGTATTGCACATTGTGGGAGACATGACAGTAACGCCTTCAGGAATCTGTGTACGTGTGTTTGATTTTTTTTCAGGTATATGTGTGTGTGTGTGTGTGTGTTTGTGTGTGTGTGTGTGTGTGTGTGAGTGTTTGTGTGTGTGCGTAAGTGTGTGTGTGTGTGTGTGTGTGTGTGTGTGTGTGTGTGTATGTGAATGTGTGTATATGTGTGTCTACAGATTTTGTGTGTGCATATCCCTGTGTGTTATTTCGTTTTGTGTATTTAGTAAATGTAACCATGCAGGAAGGGATTTAAAATTCTCGTCGACACTATTCGGATAAATTAGGGTCTCTCAAGGTTGGACACTTCCACGTCTAAATAATAGAAGTAGAAGAAGAAGAAGAAGAAGAAGAAGAAGAAGAAGAAGAAGAAGAAGAAGAAGAAAAAGAAGAAAAAGTAAGAACAAGAATAAGAACAAGAACAAGAACAAAAACAATTGCATAAGCATTTCATTAAAACCCAAGAGAGCTTTTGGTGTTGGATGCCTAAGGTCACACATTGAGCACTTTTTCTTCTACGGATTTGGTTGGCAGAAGCCCTGGTTTGGTTTGCTTTTTCTTCCCTATCAAATATCTATCATCTTTATCCGTAGTTCTTTTGTTTGTATTATGTTATGCTCTGATAACAACTTTAATATTGGGCACTTATTTGTATTGTGAGTGACGTAATACCTTTACTAAAACTAAAACCAAAAGGTTTTTTCCCAAATAGGTTGGCTCAGCTGTAGCTGTACAAACCAACCCGCTTGGGTCATCGTATTTGTTAGGTGTGTGAGGTGCTGATCTTTCACTTTGAAATATTATGTGACGGTGGTTAGAGGGTGATACTGGTATGAGGTCTTACTCCTTCATTTTGTCCTCCCTTGCTTCTGTCTGTCGGTAGGTCTTACGTTTTTACTTTTTCTCAGTTGTTTCTATATGAATCTGCATAAGACATCTTAAACATTTTCTGTTCCTACAGGCCTATCCTTCATAAGCTTTTAACGTTATCTTTCATTATATTTGTTCTTTTCCTATGTCTGGATGAAAATAGTCTCTCTCTCTCTCTCTCTCTCTCTCTCTCTCTCTCTCTCTCTCTCTCTCTCTCTCTCTCTCTCTCTCTCTCTCTGTGTGTGTGTGTGTGTGTGTGTGTGTGTGTGTGTGTGTGTGTGTGTGTGTGTGTATGTGTGTGTGTGTGTATGTGCATTAATGTATATTGCTTGAGAAGAAAGGAAGTAGTAAGAAAGGTTTTTGAAAAATGGGTATTCCAATGTAAAGCGCATTGAGCTACTTTTTTGGAAATGCGCTCTATAAATGTTATATATTATTATTATATTATTATTATTAAGTGGTGGCGTCGGTGGCCTAGTGGTTAGGCTCTCGGACTCGCAATCGTAAGGTCGTGGGTTCGAATCCCGTCAGTGACCCGACGTTGTGTCCTTGGGTAAGGCACTTTACACGAATTTTCCTCACTTCACCCAGGTGGGAATGGGTATCCGGCTATAGACAGCGAAAGATCTTGTCAGTTTGTTAGTGTTTGAGCGCTTAATCAGCTGCTTGCACTGTATGCTTCCCGGGAAGCTGAGAATGTTTCGGAGTGTTCTATGGCCTGCTGGGGTAATAATATAATGTAAAGTGCATAGAACTTGCTGTTGAGGGGGGGTATGCGTTATATAAATGCTATTTATTATTATTATTATTAGGTCTTACGTTTTTACTTTTCCTCTCTTGTTTCTATCTGAATCTGCATAAGTGGTTGGAGGGTGCCACTGGTTGTTCCTACTTCTTCCCTTTCTCTCTGTTGTTTCTGTGTGTCCGACTGACGTTTTCTGTGCAAGAAAAGACCATTATATAATCATTGTGTCGATGTGCTTCTCTTTACTCTGACATAGAAAACAACAAACAAACAAACAAACAAACAAAAAGATTCATAGAGAATGTGTACCTTTATACAATAACATAAACAAGAGAGAACATGGTGCAGATAATTGATTTATTTACAAGTGACATATAATAAATGAATTATCATTGTAGATTTTTCTGTTATCTTGCTTTGCCTGTCATTTATCGCTTTAAGGGGGGAGGTACACCTCCAAATCTTGATTTGGCTCAAACTTATGGAATTTGAGTTATAGGCATTTTTAGCTTCCTCAGTATTTCCTACAGCTATGTCATTACATTAGAACCCCCAAAGGCCTTATTCTTTCCATACCAGGCATGTTTGTCACCACCATTTCCTCATAAAGTCAATATTTTAATTTTCTCTATCGGCCGTTTTCTCAAAACGTGATTTTTCTGTATACCTTTTTGAATACCTCCACCATTTTTCATCCAATCTTCATGAACTTTTCACAGAATGAAAAGAATGTAATACAAAATATTTGTCTTAACATTTTTTATATGGAATAGATTTTTGTTGGTGGTGTCCGGAGTGTGAATTTTAACGCATTTTTTGCAAACTTGAATACTACCTCAGGACAAAAATCATTAAAAAAATAAATTCTTATTCGTTTAGGAAAAAATCAATATTCAAAATTTTAGATCTAATGTTTGCTAACATGCATTTAAAAAAAAGATCAATTTCTATGAAAAATAAGTGCGGTATTCATTACGTAAGACATGTCAACAAAATCAAATATGGCCGCCGTATCCATGAGAACGAAACTTTTTTCTCAAATTTAATTGCGGATTTTTCCATTGCTTACTATGCTAGTATATGTGCGAAACTTGGTAACATTTGGTCACCTAATAAGCGACATAGCCTTAAGGTGTAGCCCCCCCCCCTTCCCCCTTTACAATATTACTGTACACTTGGAAGTTTTGTCAGTTGCTGTCTTACTCGTGCATCCTCTCTCTCTCTCTCTCTCTCTCTCTCTCTCTCTCTCTCTCTCTCTCTCTCTCTCTCTCTCCTCTCTCTCTCTCTCTCTCTCTCTCTCTCTCTCTGTCTCTCTCCGTCTTTCACTCTGCCTC